GGTCCAGGTGTAGTTTCTCTGGTCCAGGTGTAGTTTCTCTGGTCCAGTTGTAGTTTCTCTGGTCCAGGTGTAGTTTCTCTTGTTCAGGTGTAGTTTATCTGGTCCAGGTGTAGTTTATCTGGTCCAGGTGTAGTTTCTATGGGAACAAAGACAACAACAAACATGTTAATTATAGAAATAATAACAGATATGAACATTATCAGCAGAGTCAGGAAATGTGGTCAGTTTGTCCTCCAGCAGTCTGAGCCTATAGCAGCATAACTAAGGGACAGCTCAGGAAACCCAAGCCAACCCTAACTATAGGATTTATCACAAAGGAAAGGCTTCCAACTGAACAATGTGTCAGTCTCACAGACAGAAACTGGAAGTTGGTTCCACAAGAGAGGAGCCTGAGAACTGTGTTGAGGGTTAGATCTGAACATTGTTGCACGGTGGGTTTTTCCCTCATTTAGTTTTATTTTTCTTCTTTTGGGGCTTTTCGTTGTAAGAAAAGTTTTTCAGAAGATGAAGATGGGATATGTTGTTGGATTAATTCATCCTTCTGTCAAGGGCCTCCTCTTTGACAGAGACCTGCCGGTGTTCCCTGTTCTGGTGTTCCGGTGCCCGGTTCATGTTTTATATTTAATACCTGAACTCTTCTGCGCTCAGATGTTTGTTGATCTGCGTTCGGCTGTTCTTGTTTCTTCTTCTCGCTCAGGTCCAACACATTGTGACAGAAACCAGAGACAAGATCATGCAGTACAAGAGCAAAATGGCGGACGAGGCGGACCTGCGGCGGCGTCTGGCCAGTTTGGAGGAATCTGTCGAACTGCATGAACACATGAAGAGACAGGTCATTCGCTGCTGCCGGGCTCTATCTGTTGGTTGGGTTCATTAAGTCTTTACATTCACAGCAGCAGCTGCCTCACGTGTCTTTATCCCACCACTGAAGCGCTGTAAAGTTATGACGAGGCTTGTTCTGTCGCCGTCAGGCTCTGGCCGAGTTTGAGATGTACCGACAGAGGATGGAAGACTCGCAGCTCTGCACCGAGGCCCAGCACACACAGCGAGTCGTTTCCATGAGCAGAGAGGTACGACTGCACGCACAAACACACTGATCCAAGCCGGCGTGCAGCTCCGAGTGCTTCACTAAACGTGCACGCTTCACGCAGCCTGGTGCCGCCATCGTGTGAACGTTTATCAATCCACACTATCGTGGTCCTGTTTACAATTATTGTTGTTCCGTGTTCCAGTTCCATTCAACTATTCTGTGCGTTTCTCAGCGTCTTTCTCGTCTCTTTCAACAAATCGGGAATCAAAACGTTCGTCTCTTTCAGGACAATCCTGCTCTGACTTTTGGTTTTGATGCAACTTTAGCTGTTTGAAATATTTTAGCCTTTTCTGACATTTTTTTCTCTCACATAAAATGAACTGAGCTCATTTTCCATCCTCCAAGTTTTTAGATGTTTACAACCTTTTACTGCTCCTTTCACATTTTGTTCTGCTTCAGCTTCTTTCAGCTTCCTGCTGCAAATTTAAGCTTGTTTTCAGCTACTTTCAGCTGTTTTGTGCTCCTTTCAGATTTTTTCTGCTAACCACAACATTTTTCTGTTTCTTCTAACTTATTTCTGCTAATTCCAGCTTGTTATGCTCCTTTCAGATTTTTTCTGCAAGTTTCAGCTTTTTCTGCAAGTTTCAGCTACTTTTTACTGGTAGCTGTTTTTATGCTAATTTTAGCTTTTTTGGCTAATGCCACATTTTTGCACTCATTTCAACTTTTTTCAACCTAATTTAGCAAAAGTGTGCTCTCTTCACTTCCTTCTAGTAACTTCAGCTTCTTTCTGTCTTTTTAGCTACTTTTCAGCTGTTTTTTTTTTTTGCTGCTAATTTCAGCTTTTTTCAGATAATTTCCACTTTTTGTGCTCATTTTTGCTTCTTTCAGCCTAACTGGGCAAACGTGTTATTTCTGCTTCCTTCTGCTAATTTAAGCTTGTTCTAACTTTTCAGCTGATTTTTGCATTTTATTTAGCTAGTTTCAGCTTTTTTCAGATAAATTCAAGTTTTTACTTCTGCTACATTCAGCTTAAATAATTTCTTAATGCTAATTTCAGCTTGTTATGCTTCTTTCAGCTTGTTTCTACTAGTTTCTGTCATTTCAGCTACTATTTAGCTGTTTTATGCTATTTTTAGTTTTTTTATCTAATTCTACATTTTTAGCTCATTTCCACTCCTTCCACTTCCTTCTAGTATTTTAAGCTTCTTTCTGCCTTTTCAGCTGCTTTTCAGCATTGTTTTTAGCTAATTTCACAATTTTTCTGTTAATTATTTAAATCGAATTCAGTAAAAATGAGTTCTTTCTGCTTTCTTCTGCTAATTTAGGCTTGTTCTTGCTTTTCAGCTATATTTCGTCATTTTATTTAATTTCAGCCGTTCTTCAGCACTAAGCATTCACACTGCATTTTCACAGGAATGTAATTTCTCCAGTTCCATGAACGATCCACTCTTAAATTAAGTTCGAGCATTTCATGCCGAACATCTGATGTTTGTCGCTGACGTTAGAAGACAGTTTGACTTTTTGAAGGACGAGGTGTAAGAAAAGAGGAGCTGCTGAAGACTTCTGCACAGTCCTGCATACATTGGACCTTCAAAGGTCCTGACTCTGTAACAATAAATGGATTTGAGGTCATATTTGTTGTGTAACGGGTTAAACTGGTCAGTTGGAGCGACACGACGCCCGGTCCGAAGAGAACAGACGACGCTCCGTGGTTTCCGCAGGTGGAGGAGATGCGTCGGGACTTCGAGGACAAGCTGCGGACGTTCAGCCAGGCCCAGGCCCAGTTCGAGGCCGACAAGCGGCGAGCGCTGGACGAGCTGAGGTCCACGCACCGGCAGGAGGTGGACGAGCTGCGCAGCAACCAGCAGAACCACAGCGCCACCTCGGCTGAAGACCAGGAGAAGCTGGCCGAGCTTCACAGACAAGAGGTGAGCCACGAGCGACGGGACGGTGGATTACACGTGCGCTCTGGACACGCTCGCGCGTACCGACTCATCTGTGCTTTTAATGAAACGACAATCGCTGCCGTTGTTGCTTTATTATGGTCCAGTAATTATTAATTATTTTAATTATTTATTTAATTCCACTTTCTTCTTTAAATTCAACGTTTACCCATAAAAACATGTTTAAAAGCCTAACTTATAAAAATATAAATTAAAACATACCATTGTACACAGAATGTTCAGAAATAATTACTTAGGAACAATAAACCACACATTTGTTTTTCTCCGTCTTTTTATTGATTATTAATTAATTTTGGTGCAGTCAATAAACAGTTTTTTTCTGACAAGGCCTACAAGTCCTAAATGTTTTTTTGTATTTAGTCAGAATTTATTTTTAAACGCTCTCGTAACCTCACAGTGACTTTGCTGCCCTCTAGTGTTCAGTACGGGAAAACCCACCACAGTGAAATCCCATTATAAATGCATTCTCTGATCCTATAATCAACCATTCCTTTCAGTAACTTGTTTTAATTTTACCTCCATCTTTACACTTCAGAGTTTCTATACGAGCGCACCGGCGATGTGTTGCTTTTTATGTTTGGGAGTCAGTAAAAATTTACGAGAACTTTCAACTTCCTGAGGAAGGGGTACGTCGTTCTCGGCTGGTCTTGCTGCAGAGCTCCAACCCTCAACTTGTCCGACAAAATAGTTTCAGGATGTAAAGAGCAAAAACACACCTACGTGTCGCTCACATCAACGTTTAGTTACCGTGATGCAGCAGCTCGGTAAGCTCGTGTCTCCGTCCCTGTGCAGGTGGAGTCACTGATGGAGAGGGTGGAGGAGCTGACGAAGGATAAAGTCCGCCTGGTGGAGGAGTACGAGGCCAAGCTGGCCAAGGCCCAGGAGTACTATGAGAGGGAGCTGGAGGCCATGAGGAGGATACATCAGCTCACCACAGAGAACCTGCTGGCCTGGAAGAGGACTGAAGTAAGAAAACGCTACAGAATTATTATATTAATATTATTATTATATATTAATATTATTACAGGTGTAGAAGACAAGGGATACATATCGCCCACTTCCTTTCACAGTTTGGACCCTCATTTACCGTGAAACATTAGTTCACCCGGCGCTGTTTCTATTTCTTCGTGAGCGAATCCATTCCACTTGATTAACAGGAGAATACTCAAACGCTAAAAGTCCACTCCGGGTTTTCCCGGTTACCGACAACAACTCACTGCATGCAGCGTTCCTCGAGGTCATCTGCCTGGGCATGGCGCTCATCTCTTCGACGAGGCGAGGGTAGGAAGGGGAGACACGTTTTGCGCGCTAGCTTAGCGCTACATCTGTAGCATCTTAGCGTGTCTGTATTGCGCGCCGCTAGCTTAGCAGTGCGCTCGCTTTAATGGCTACTGGATCAAGTGTTTGCATATGAAGGTAACTGTAGATGTTAACCCATTAAAATACACCAGAATGCAGGAAATGGCATCTACTTTATTGAAGATTTTCTGGGGAAGGAACCCCCTCCCACACACACACATTATAAATGCTTCTGACGCCAGTAACGTCCAGTTCGTACTTTAAAAGCTTCATTAAAATCCGTTCAGTGGTATATGAGATATTTCGCTGACACGGCAGACCATGAAAAGGTTGCCCAGCAGCAACCGACGCCAGTGGGCTCGTCAAACGACCCAAACAGGAAGTTGATTTGTCACGGCCTTTCTGCTCCCGTTCAGGTGGAGCTTCGTAAGGAGTTCCAGGCTCAGGAGACGGCGCTGCAGCGTTCTCTGTCCAAGCTGAGGAGCGAGCTCCAGAAGGCTCAGGAGGAGGCCCGCGAGAACCGAGACAAGACCAACCGGCTGCAGACATCACTGGCCAACGCCGAGGGAACCATTAAGGTGTCGTATCAGAACATACTTTGTGACGGTCCCAGCTCAGGTGTGTTGGGAGCGGCAGGAAAAGTGTTTATTTCAAAGTGTCTTGAGAAAAGTGCAAACGAAGCTGAATGTTTAGCTGAAGCTGAGCTGAAAGTGGGTTGAACTGACTGAAAACCAGCTGCGGAGAACAGAGACGTGAGTGGAAGCCTCGCGGTAAGATCCGGGTGTGTGAGCGGTGCTGCAGTGTGCTCTGACAGAGCTCCAGGGAGGTCTGAAGAAGAGAGGATGTGACAAACACTAACGCATGTGTGACCTTCCAGAACCTGCACAAGCAGCTGGAGGAGGCCGTCCAGGACGGAGAGATCTGGGTGATGCAGCTGAAGGACACGGAGTACGAGCTGGAGAGCAGCAGGGAGCGGGTCCAGCAGCAGGCCACCGAAATCCTCCACAAGGCCAGTGAGTTGAGCCTCCTGAGGTCGTTGTGTCCCGACGCACAGCAAAAGGGAATCGGGAACACCTCCTGACCGTCCGTGCACGTTGTGAGCGTGATAACCTGAAAAATGTGTCAAGTACTGACTTCATTTTGTTACGTGGCTGCATCTTGGTGTAAGAAAGGTCGCTATGGAAAACTGGCTCATTACGTCAAAATCCAAGATGGCCTCCGCCATATATATATATATATATATATATATATATATATACATATATATATATATATATATGTATATACACATATATATACTTTGTATGTATATATATATATATATGAATTTATATTTAGCCACCCCAGTCACTTCCACAAATAAGCTGACATTTAATCTATGGGGGCTGAGGGCCCCATTGGCCACCCCTTGGCTCCTCCGTTGCACCTGGTGGTGATACAATGTCGTCCTCCTCTCGTTACAATCCGTCACTCTGGAATAAAGCCCTCCCTGTGTTCTCATCCACAGTAACTCCTCTACTTGAATACCTTGCAGTAAAAACATTTAGGTTTCCTTCGTTCTCTGTTCCAGTCCAGAAAAACACTCGTCTCCAAGACTCCAAACATTCAGAGTTCATACGGGGATGTCGGCGTGACGCTCATTTGAATTGGAAATTGTGCTGTAACACCTTCAGCTGATCAGGGTTCTTGTTGGACTGCTTCCAGGTCAGATCGGGTCCTTGCAGGCCACCCAGATGGCCCATGAGGCCACCATCAGGAACCTGGACCAGGAGCAGAGCCGCCTCAAGGAGAAGATCAGCCGGCTGGAGGAGGAGCGGGAGGCGCTGCACAACCAGAACCAGGCCTCCAACGAACAGCACAAGCAGCAAGTGCTCAAGCTGGAGCAGGTGAGGCTTTACTCCCCCGCAGGAGGAGGAGAGGAGGCGCAGTTCGCCGTGTAAACTCTCCTCCTTGTGCTTTTCTTCTCAGTCTCTACGCGAGGAGCATCAGGGCTACGAGAAGGAGCTCTCCAGACTGAGAGCTCACTACGAAGAGGAGACGCTGCGCTTTAAGGAGGCGCAGGTCCGAGCGCTGGAGGAGTTAGAGGAGAAGCACCATGCCATGAGGGAGGAGGTGCAGCAGGAGAAGGAGGAGGAGAAGAAGCTCCTCGTTACTGTAAGTCCAAACAGCAGGATGTTAAAGTGACGTCTTGCTGAGCTGCTAGTCCTTTTGAAACACAGCTTTCATGGTTGATGTTTAGCTCCGCCCACATCGTACCCCTTTTGGACCCGCCCCCTTATATATGATTTAATCTGCTGTTGGAAACGTTAGAAATGACGCTTCAGACAAGTTTTTAATAACTCTACCTATCCTCGTCGAGGTCTTCAGACCTGGGTATTTGCCTTGAGTGTTTTGTGTCGGCGGGTTCCCGTGCGGAACGTCTCGCTCCGACGCTCTGGAGACTCCGCCCACTGCTAGCCCGAATGCCATGTTGGTTTACTGGAAGACATAACGCAAAGAGACGCCGTTCCTCCCAGCGACATCACGCTGTGCTCTGAAACGAAGTGTGCGGACGACGGCATCACGAGGACATAACACTCGCCTCTTTCACACTGGCCCCAGCTCAAGGTCATGGTCACACATCAAGGTCAAAGTTGAAACCAGGTCTTTGCTTGTCCGTACCTTCACTTCTGATCCACTCGAGATTAATTAATGAAACTTGATATGAATTTGCCCCACCAATAGACGGCATGATGCGTAATCTTTTCATCACAGCAGGTCAAGGTCACAAATCAAGGTCAAAGATCAAGGGATTTGCTTGTCCGGTCATTGCTATAGATTCCTGTATATTGGTTTGTTGGCGGGCGTCTGTGCTCGTCAGAAGCTCCTGTCTGAAACTGACTGCTAATTGGTTGGTAAACCCCGCCTCCGAGCCAAGTGAGTGCTATGTGGGGGGCGTGTCTTTACAGATTACCTGGAAGACGGAGGCATGGGGAGTCAAAATGGTGGGGGTGATGGATGAAATAAGATTATGTAAGCCTTATAGTTGACATCCAGAGCTAGCTGTTCACATGATGGAGCATCAGCCTAACAATAGGTCGTTAGCGCCCTGATGGCCGCTTGCTATTCACAGAGGGCGGAGTGATACAATAACAGCATTGTAAGAGGAGGACAGTTGGACATGGAGGCTCCGCCCCGTTTAATGATGTACAGGTTCTCTTCACAAGAGGAGTGGTTACAGTGCTGTTATTGTAAGCATCACTCAGCCCCCTGTGAATAGCAAGCGGCCGTCAGGTCACTAACGACCTCTTGTTAGGCTGATGGTCCATCTTTTTTCATGTGAACAGCTGGTTCTGGCTGGTCCATTATGACAAGGTGCTGTTTATAAGACTGAGCTTGTTGCAGCTCCTCAGACTGAAGAAGTCCTTTGGATAAAAGAAGAAACGTTTCAAGAAGAGGACCTGACTCTACTTTATTAGAACCAGACTTCGGTTCAAAACAACAGCTAAAATTAGCGAAAAGAGGCTAAAGTTAGCAAAACTTTATGTAAAACTGAGACAAGTATACTAGAGAAGGTTACTTCTCTGTTCATGCTGAAGAAGAATAAAGTGGTTTCTGGGCTGAGCTTGCAGGCAGACACCAGGAACGTTTGAAGGTTTGAAGGATGAAGGGAAGTTGTCGGTTTGACGCCCTTTAGGTGTCAATGACGGCTCTTCTTCCTCTGGTCACGCTCAGCAGCTGCCGTGACTCCATTTGATTTCCAGCGGCGCGCTCTCCCCTTTAGCTTCGACCTGTGGAGGATTTCAGAGCTCCGCTTTTATGGTCCACTTAGGCTGACCACGTTCCACAGCTTCTGCACTCCTGACGCTCCTGTGTTCTCCACGTCTTTCTCCCTCGTTGCCTCCTCCGTCTTCCTCTCCAGAAAATGAGTCAGGAGTTTGAGATCAAGCGGCTGTCGCTGGAGGAGCAGCGAGACCGTCTGCAGCAGCAGCTGGACAACCTGAAGGAGGAGCTGACGGCCAAAGTCAACATGGCCAATCAGGAGGTACGCCTCGTCTCTGACGCCGTTTCCTTTCTAGTGTGAGGGTTTGACCAACACCTCATGCCCCTCCCCCACAGGTGTCCCACCTCCAGGAGATGGTGAGAGAGGGGGAGCAGAACCTGAGCTCAGCTCAGACGCAGATCTCCTGCCTGAAGGAAACGCAGGAGAAGCTCCGGATCGAGCTGGACGCAACCAGAGCCCGGGTCCGAGAGACCAGCAACCTGCTCACCGACCTACAGGTGAGGCGGATCCAGGAATGTTCTTTTAAAGTCAAAACGCTTTAAATCTTGACAAACGTTTGATTTATTTCTTTTTTTTAATTTAAATTATGTATATTATTTCTGACAAAGCCTAAAAACCCTTTTTATATTTAACCGTAACGATGCTGCCCTCTAGTGTTCCTTAGAAGGAACTCCACCACAGTTAAATCCCTTTATAAATGCACCTACTGAGCTCATGATTATCATCGTAAACAAACGTGTTCCTCTCAGTTTTGTTTTGTCTTCTCACTTTTACACTTGAGATTTGTTACATTCTCTCACTCAGAGACGTTTTGTGTTTTACATTTGAGAGCTTCTGTAACAATTTACCGGGACGGGCTTCACCTCACCCCTCAAGTGGTTTTTCCCGGCTGAATGTTGCTGTCAGTTCCACCTCATCTCATCCAACAGCATTGTTTTACTTTGGATGTAAAGAGCAACAACACACCTGCACGTGCGTGGCTCAATGAGACTACCTGGATAAATAAAGGGTCAATGCAAAATAATAAAAAATGTTGCTCAATAAACATTTAGCGCAAAAAGAGCAGCTCGACATGCATGCAGGCTGCAGCGTCCGTCGCTCCGCGGCTCAGAATGGTTGAGTAACAGCAAGAACTGAAGCAGAATCAGGTGCTGATGAAAAGATGAAAGAAAATATGATTTTAATAGAAAAGCTCCGTGTCCGACCACCGAGACACACGTGTATGTTGGATGGAAAACACGGCATCATTTTCAGCTGCCGGATCTGGAGGGTCTTCACAAAACTCCAGACCGGAATATTGAAGAAGTCCTTTAGAGCCGACTAACGGAGGAAAATATTATCCATCCATCCATCATCCATCATCATCCATCCATCCATCCATCATCATCCATTCATCATCCATCCATCCATCATCATCCATCAAAAGATTATCCATCCATCATCCATCATCATCCATCCAACCATCATCCATCCATCCATCAAACCATCATCCATCCATTCATCCATCATCAATCCATCCAACCTTCATCCATCCATTCATCCATCATCCATCCATTCATCAAGAATGGATAGTCAATAGTCAAGACAATAATTACTAATTATCAAATTTCAAACAATATTATCGTTTATCGCAATAATTTCTGAATCGCCCAGCGAAATTTATCGTGACAGGCCAAGCTGACTCCCACCTTTAAACCGCTCTGTTACTTCCTCCACAAACACAGATAATAAAGATGGGTTAGTGGGTTTGGACCGAACCGGAATGACCTGCAGGTGTTGTTAAAGCCTGCAGACTCAGCTCGGCAGCAAAACCAACAAAAAGATTAACCTTCACAGAATCGTCTAAATGCTCATTCGCCTTTTCCTGTTCGGCTGATTTCACCTCAGTTAATCTGTCTTAATAAGCCACAACTATACTCTATTTTATTATTTCTATCTTAAAGTGATTCTCTCCTGCATAAAACACCGTCCTCTAAATCATATTTAGATACGCTGAAATGTCAAATATCATCATTTGGTCTGGATGGAGCTGCTCATGCAAGCCTTTTCTCCTCGCAGCCGAAGTCAGAGGGTTTAAAGGTCTTTTAATGAGCTCCTCAGCACATAAGCCCTGGACCCACTTCAGCTGCTGGGAACAGCTGATCTGATGAAGTCCGCTTCCAAACGACTCATTATTAATGCGTTCTGAGGAGGTGTGTAGGTGGGAACGACACGATGACTCACCCAGCTGCTGACACGGGCCGTATAATAATAATAATACTAAAAATAACAATACTTTGACTTTAAACGCCAACAAATACACGGTTTAACCAATGGAACGCCTCATAGGGAGAAATCAGCTACACTTTTATTTTGTCCATGTTTTTATTTATTTTATTTTAGTTTTCAATAAACACAATTGTTTCTAATTTATTTATTTATTGTCAGAATTATTTTTAAATGCTCCCATAACCTCACAGTAACTTAATCAGGTTAACGAGGCCTTAACGAGGTCAACGAGGCGACTGATGACCGTCTCGGCTGAGTTTTGTGCTTTTGTCTGTAGGAGGAGATAGAGACCCAGAAACAGCAGCACGAGGCCAGAGTGATGGCCATCAGGACCGAGGAGAAGCAGAAGATGGACAAGATGGCCGACGACTTGGATCAGAAGTGGAGAGACGCTCTGCGGTGAGAGCCGAACAGAAAACCTCTCAGTCCCACTCAACAGGAAGTGAAGACAGTTTGTGTCGAGGAGGTACCGAAGATCTGTTGAGTGAAATGTCTCCTCCTGCAGGGAGGAGGAGCGCTTGTTGAGGGAGGAGCTGACGGAGGAGTACGACGCAGAAAAGCAGGCGACGCTGACCCAGCTGTCCCAGCAGAAGGATCTGGAGATGATGGCGGCCAGGGAGGGCTGGCAGAGGAAGGTGGAGGACCTCCTGGAACAGGTGGGTCCACCGCCGTCTTCATCTCAACAGGACTCTCAGATATGGTGGGGACCCCTCATGAGCCTCATGTAGACATGGTGGGTTCAGGGACCCATCATGAGCCTCATGTAGACATGGTGGGTTCAGGGACCCCTCATGAGCCTCATGTAGACATGGTGGGTTCAGGGACCCCTCATGAG